TATAAAATCTGGCATTGATCAATGGTAGAATGACCAGCCCTGAAACACGCTTGCACTTCTACTATAATATTCTCCTGTTCAAGCCACTCTCAGATTTTCCAACATAAATGCCTATCATGCAATTTACTTACTATATTGAGCAGGTTAATTGGATGGCAATTAGAAGGATAAGTCTTCTCTCCCTTTTTGTGTATTGGAATAATGACAGAAAGGTTTCAGTCTCTCGGCATCAGTGCTGACTGGTCAATAAATTAAAATTGAAGCCAGCATTGTGTCCCATTAATCAATATTACCTTTTATCTACTCTGGGGGGATCACATTGACTCCAGGGGCTTTGCCCACTGTCAACTGAGCCACTAGCAATTAAATGTCTGTTCTTGAAAATGATGACCAAAGGGGAGAAGATGTGCCATGTCAATATCCTGGGGGAGGGATCTCTCCTCCATGAGGGACAGAAACCCATGCAAGGGCATGCTGAAGGAAACTGCTCTGTCTCCAGGACAGGGGAAATTGGCTTGCCTGAATAGGATGAGATGGGATAGAAGCAGCAGCAGGTGTGCAAATATTAAGGTGGTTGGCTCAGATAAATTCTGAGACTATAAAAGTCCACCTCACCCAAGACTGTCAGCACTGATTGGTTCTGGCTTTCCAGGGATCATGCAGGATTCTTTCCCAGCCTTATCTAGAAATGTGGGGATTGAACCCGAGACATGCAAAGCAAGTGCTCTCCCAATTACAGTCCCAAGCACTTAATTAGCCAAAACCGAATTATCTCTTAAAATAGTATTTTTATATGCTTCAGGAATCCTGTAAGATGCCACACTAGTGACTGATGCAGTAAATTAACATGAGACAAATACTTTTGGCAACAATGTCCATGCAAGTTATTAAAACAGAGCTTTTTTTATACAGCACATTTTCCATAATTTTGATCAATACCACAAGGCAAATTCTTGTACTGGTACATGTAGGAGGCCATTGCTTCTCATCATTTTTAATAATATCACAGCTGTAAAACATGAACTAAAATTCACGGGCCATCATGAGTGCTGGAGTACAAAAGCACAAACAGGGTCAAAGATAGTGCAACAATTCAGCTGGTATTAAGGCAGAGGCTGTTGCCCCTAAGAAAATGCAGTGTGAATATTCTTTCAGTTTCAGAAGCTCAATTTTGCTTTCACCTGAAGAAAGGTTACAAGCCTTTCCTGCTTTCAAAGCTGAGCATAGCTTTGGGAGGAAGATATTGTGCACAATGTGTGTGCATGGGGTGGTGTTGAATTCAGAAGGGGCTATCTGCCAGTGAAGGGATGGGAACAAAGAAGCAAAAATGCCACTTCGTCTCTTTAAAACAAAGCATGCTGGGACTATAGATCTTGTCTGACTGCACATTTGTATTCCTCTGGGATTTTTAGGTGTATGAGTGTGTATTAAAACAAGGTACACACCTTTCATAAAGCTTGGTTTATTTTATTTATTTATTTATTTATTAAATAAATTAAGGGAGGTTTAAGGGAGGAAAGCAACTTTTTCTTGCAAAATTGCTGCTGAATTTCACCAGTGGTTATTACCGGGTGTGCAGGGTGGGGGATGCAGCTTGTAGTAGGTTCTGGAGATGGTAAATTGGCCTGCGGATCCTCCAAATTTGTCCAGTCCTATGCTAGTGGATTGCAAGTTGTTAGTACAGCATATTTTCCCTCCTCATTGCACTCCCCTGTGCATCCTCCAAACCTACTCTGGAGGGTAAAGGAACCCTCAAGAGCAGATCTGGGTCATGTGCAGAGGGCCATGGCATGAGAGTCTAGGAAAACAAGCTCCATCATAGCCCAGAAGTCACATTTAAAATTGCTCATTAGAGAAAGAACACCCATGCTTTGATCACTTGCAAGTCTTCCTCAACTAATTTGTTCCAAAAATCGTCACAAAGAAAAAGGACAATGAAAATATTTTGAATGAGTTTGTCTTTTACCAGAGCAGACAAGGCAGTGAAGCATTTTTAATTGTGTGATCAGTGCTTCTGTCTGCTGACGTCAAATGGCAGTGCTTGTTTAGAATTAGATTCTTAAATTCAAAATTAGAAAAGGGGGATGGACAACAGCCTTGAACTAACACCAGACCCCTGGGATCAGTTCAGTCTTGTGAGGTTTTAGTGTGTTTTCTAGTTTTGTGTGAAATGTCTTTTCTCTGAAGCAGTTCTTCAAAAAAGAGGAAACTGTACATAGGAGATAAAGAGTGAGTATATTTAATAGAGTTTAATAGCATTTGGACAACATAATATAGTTTGATTTTATCTCAGTATATGGCATGGGATTATGCACCTTAAAACCCTCAGCTTTTATAAATGGCTAAAGCATTTACTTTTATGATCACACCAAAGGAAGCAATACAAAGTTATTACTGTACCACAAACACTTCAGAACTTAGCTGGTGGTCCTAACTGGCTGTCAACAAAGCTAATATAAAAGGAGGATCACCAAAGTTCTCCATAATGATCTCTTTCCAGAAAGGAGAGAACTGTATCACACTGTGCTAAGAACCAGAAAAAAATACATACATAGCAACATGAAATGGTTTTGGTGTTATCTGTCTTCATGAATGAAGAATAAAGAAACCATTAATAGGAACAATTTGTGATTCAAAATAAAATATGATGCAACCTTGCCCCCAATTTTATACAGACTGGAGCTGATAAGCATGTGGCCTTTTCACTGACTCCTTCTTTCTTTCCATATCCATGATGGAGCTACATGTTTGAGAGCATCAAAGAACTTAGTAACTACTTGTCATGTATTAGAAACCATGCTTTCCAGTTTTGTAAACTACTCTAAAATGCTTCCAGTGTCAAAACCTATCTGCTGAGAGATCTTCACTATTTTTTTTAACTAGGAGCCATGTCTTGGGGGGGGGGGACCAGGGCCACTTGGGGGGCTTTCTTGCAAATGGTGGTCATCCCCTCCCCTCCCCTCTCCTCCCCTCCCCATTAAGTGGCAACATTGTGCAATGGAGGCTGGTGAAGGTCTTTTCAGGCCTATCACCTCACTCCGTCCTTCATGCCTTGAGGCAAGTCTTCACCAGCCAGTTCACCAGCCCATTTCCCAAAGGCTCACTTGGTCCTGGGACAGAGACAGAGCTTGTCCTCATCACTGAGAGTGTTCTGTTCTACTCAGAGCAGCAAAACCTCCCAGCCCCAAATTGTCCTCTCTCGTTCCTGTGCATTCAATTTGTCACTCTGCCATCTGTGCAGGGCATCAGTGCAGTTATCCAAACATGTTGCTCTTTGACTTTTGGGCCCCTATCCTGCCACAGCTAATTAGCTGATTGCTACTACATTCCCCTCCACCAGCATCCAGCTGTTGAGCAACAGGTTTTCTGACTTCTCACCCCCAAGCCACCTTCAGGAGCCCTAACGGCCAGCCAACCACAAAAGCAAACAATAAGGCAACCAGTCCAACCATGCCAAGTGTGAGCAGCTGCTATAAAAACTGGGGGAGAGAGAGGCAGTGAATCGCCCAGTGGCCCTGAGGCCTTGCAGTGAATAACAGTGGCAAAAGATCTCATCAGAGTCCCACAGCCACTCTTGAATGAACCCGTGGTGTTTAAACACTGCCATCCACTTACCAAATAGCAGCTGTACCAGGGGTGAAATGCCACTTGGTCAGGTAGGCTGTCATATGCTTTGGACATATAGATATGTCAAGAGGTATTTGTGGCAGACCCAAGCAGTGATGGCAAAGCTTTGGTCCCTGGTGAAGCTGTACTATGGTTTATGCATTGACTGGAACGCTTCTTCTTTTCGAGAACAGTAACATGAGCAGAGGCAATGTAACTCAGCATTTCGGTTTAGGCTTCACAGAATGAAGCAGGGTGGATGGCAGTGTGCAACGCCTTGTCTTTTCATCAGGACTACTGCAACATGTGGGGGGCCCATCTTTTGCCATTGGTATTTGTGTATTTCTTCTTGCTAATCTACATTTACAAGCTGCTATGCAGAAATATAATAATATTGTAGATGCTGTTGCATCATGACACTCAAAAACATTTTAAAGCTCATGCCATAAACAAGTGGTTAGAGTTTAAGGTGCCATGAGACTCTTTGTTGGTTTTGCTTCAACAGACAAACACAGCTATTCCTCTGTAAAAGTATGTGTTCTGTGTGGGGGGATGTGTGACACTGAAAATCTCATTCCACTTGAGCTTGAAGGATTTTTGATGCATTACTGCTAAAATCCAGCCAAGTCAGATTGTAGACTTCCTGCTTCTGTTGAAATTGCTTGAAATATTTGTGCTAATTTGGAGCTGAATGTGAATTGTGAATCACATACATTCATGCAAATCAGAGCAGACTCATTAAATCCGCATTGTTTCCCTGATTGTTGTAGCATTTAACATAAAAAGCATGGAAGCATCCATATGCAGTGCCTTTGGTCACTTGAATTTTCTGACAGTTTGTTTTCTGATTTGTGTGAAATTTACATCCTTCCCTGCACTGCAATTTGCACAAATATGTACACTTTATGCAAATCCATGCAAATTGCAGAGTGGTGGCTCTAATTTTGCTCAAATTTCCCTGATTTAGAAATAGAAAGAAAAAACAACTCCATTTTAAAAATAGAAGTCCATGTAGTGGCTTCACATGTGTCAGCATTATGGATTATGGAATGGAATCCACAGGACCAAGTTGAGAAAACCCACCAGATTTTCCCTCCCTTATCAGATTTTCTCATCCATTCCTAGTTCTCTGTATCAGTTATTTAGCCATATACTTTTGCTGCGCTTGCCAGAAAGGTAATGAAAAGACTTTGTTCAGAAGTTTAAAAGTGACATATTGATTACACCATGACATTATTCTGAATCATATGGCATCCTGTTCAATTCTAGGCTCACTTTATATTCAGTTATATCCATTCACTGTGTCTACAGAGTTGCAATGATTTTGCATCTCAGTAAGTGATTGCATCAGATTTCAGCTTCACTTTTCTTGGTTCTATATACTTAACACTTACTGCGGCAAGCCGGAAATGTGCTGTTGATTTGTTCCATGACATCTGTTAGATCTGTGCTAGTATCATGGGGTGGGACTAACAAGTCATCTACACCTAATGAAAGCAAAATGTGCAATCAGTTTATTACTAAAGAAGCAGCATTGAATTTGAAAGCTATTTCCATCCATGCTTGCCAGCTTAATGTTTTCAAAGTTAAAAAGGTGAGAAAGCCACTGAAATCTCTCATTTGATGAGCAGTAATTGCTCACTGATAATGACCAGAGAAGAGAGGAATATTAATTATCAATTTATACCTGATTTAATTTCTGCATTATAAAATTTAACCATCATGCATGAGATAGTACCGGAGAGAATTGCCAAGAAACAACTAGATGTAAAAATAGGTTGTGAAGTTATCTTATCAAGCAGGGTCTTGCATTTCAAATTACTGTACTTAGCAGAATCACTCAGTGCCCACATACTGAGCACTGGGCATGACTAAGTGGAGATCCCCTCCGCCAAGGGTAGTGCCTCCATATGTTTGACAGGGACAAGGAAGCAGAGGCCAGAATGACGGCCTGGTGCACACAAATGCCTCCACCTAAGCTGGCACAGTCCTCATGCAGCTAAGTAGGAGGTTTCCTGGATGCAAGAATGCTAGCCTTCAGGAGACTGGGCTGAAAAGTTTGGGAGGCTGAAGGCCACTGTTTGTTCTTTGTTCTCTCAGCCTAGCACAAGCTGCCCTGATAACTCTGGCCAGAAAGGGAGACGAAACAAGCTCATCTTTGCCCCAGAACTTGCTGCACAGACTGCAATGTCTCAGGGATGCAACTGCAATGGCTTCAGGGCTGAGGCTAGAGAGGAAACTTACCCCAATGCCCACACCCAAGCTGGGGAAGAAGATCAAAAGGGACATATATGCTTGTTCAAAGGTTATATATGATCTTTAATGCCAATATTACATATCAAATTACAAAGTCTAAACTAAGTTTCTAAATATAATTTATAAGGTTTCCACTGCAGCAGCAGAGGACTCGTGTAGTATTTATATTAAAAGCCTGTTAAAAATAGTTTTAGTATGACAGGTATTTGGCCTGAGTTTTACTATTAAGGGATTTTCCAGTTGCCAAAAATTCATTAATGACACTTTCAGTTATTGGCTTTACAACATTTCATCTAGTTGTTTCAGTTGTTCTATAAAGTGTATTCTATTGTTTTACATTAAACTTTCATAAACCACCCTGAGGGCTCTGAGGAGGCATGTGACAGGCTAAAAATTAATGAACAAATGAATGAATCTTCACATTGTACAGCTGTTCATCTAAAATTTAATGACTCTTTCAGCTAAAATTTTTAGTTCTAATACCTTGATCAAGCAACTACTTATATTTAATCAAACCTGTCTTTAAGAACAAATCCAGCTTCTGTCCTAGGTAAGAATCAAAGTCCCATAGTAAGTAGCTTTTGTGCTCTTTTATTTATTTTGACATTCATACTTTGACTTCCAAATTCTAGAAGAAAGGACTCAAGGCAGCATTAGAAATGTTCTCTCCCAGATCATGCATGAATACGTACTTGAAAGCTGATATAATCTACAGAATAGCATACAAGCAAAGAGCCAAGAAAGAAAAAGATCCATTAATATCTATTTTAGCCTACATATGAAAGGGTTAAATTCCCCGTAACATTTGCAGCCTAAAATCTTTGGAAACACATTCATGACAATTGAAACACTGCCTTAGTAGTAAACCAGGGAACTTACCTGCCTGATTAAACTGTGAACTGGTATCCTGATCTGGGGAATAGCTGAGGCTAGAACGCTGAGGTGAAGCACAGGAAGAGCCTCCATTAACTCTGGCATCCGTTTCAGGCTAAATTAGATTTAAAAATTAATTCACTCCAGAGATCCACTTGAGGTCAGCAAAACATACATTAAGCATGATATAAGCTATTGACAATGAATTTCTAAGGTTTGATAGCTACATTGGAAATGTAGCTAATTGTCATGGCCTAAGACGCTGGAGCATTGGCAGTTTATGAGCTGCCTGAATGAATGGATCAGGGCAAGGTCTCAGTTTCAGAAGGACATCACGAGCTTGCCATCTCCTTAGAATCTAGTTCTTGAGGAGGATCCTAAGGACAAGCTCCTTTGTATCCAGCAGAAGAGTTATTGCTCTCTGCAGGTTTTGAGCACTGTAGCCAGAAAGGGACCACAAGAGAGCAGCTACCTCTGTGTTGAAGCAGACTGAGGTAAAAGACCTTTAAGGGAGAAGGCCTCAGATAATGGGGAGACAGAGCTAGCCAGCTTAGCGGAAGCCAGAACCATTCCTTAGGCTCAGCCACAGCCCACGACTTTGCCAGAGCAGCCCAGGAACAAGTTTGTCTGGCTTGCCAGTCCCAGTATACTGAGAACTTTCCGTGATGTTGCACATTTTCCTGTCTCTCTGGAAAACCTGAATCCTGCTTAGTGAGAAAGTCCACTGAACCAGAGCCTGCTCAATTTGAGTCCATTGAACCAGGGTAAAAACTGGATCTTACAGCACCTAGCAATGCCAGTCTCTTACTCTGACAACAGGGTTCACCAGCACAAACAGTACACTAGTATCAATTGAACCAGAGCCATTCAAGAGAGGCAAACTTCTGACAGTGGGAAGCCTTATTGGCTTGCTTTACTAGCTCCTTCCTGCTCATTCTGTCCACATGGAACAGTCGCACCATGCCACCAGCTTGTTGCTTTGATGATGCACCCAAGGACATGATCTTAACAGCTATCAGAAGGGTCTTGACGTTAGTTCATCCCTGTATTATATTTTGCTCCGAAGGGGGAGCAAGCCTTCAGGGGTGTGCTGCCATAAAGAAATCACCCTCATTAGTAGCAGAATGACTCTATGAAAGGCACTTGAAAAGTGGCTCACTTTGTGGCTTTATTCAGTGCTTGACAGTTATGAATAAGACTTCCCTTTTCTCCAGCCATTTTAAGAATTGATTTAAATGGTAATCTGGTTTTAAATTGACTCTATGTCTGTTTTACTTGATTTTCGTTTAAATTGTCTTATTCTAATGTCTTACATTTTAATTTTGATATATTATGTTTTATATTTGGATTATGTTGTTAATAGGTTTTAAATATTTTGAGTTAATGTTGTTGATTTTAGAATGTTGTGTAGTTTTATGTATTGTGAGCCATACAGAGAACCCAGATATAGGCTATTGGTGGAATAAAATAAAAATAATAAATAAATAAATTGTGTGTAATGCTAAACCATGTTTAGTCCTGCAAGGACAAACTGCAGCAAACCTTGGACTTCCTTTTTCTCTTCTGGCATGACCCCAAGGAGTTTGGAAGCTTGTGCTTCTATTTTTGACAAACTACAACTTGTTGTGGTGTGGTGTGTTTTCATGTAGATTGCTCAAGCAAGTGAACTGAAGAAATGGGTGGAATTGTTTCATCAGTTCCTTTTCTCTATAATTAATGTGTCTTTGTCAAGCTGCCACATGCCAACTCTGCTTCACCTCCAAGTCTGACATTGTAATCAATCTTTTGGACAAAAATGACAGCATTCCATGACAACCACCAATCCTTTGGGCTTGCTGAAATAAAAATAGAAAGCACACCTCCAAACTGCAGCCTGATATACACAAGTTCCAATATAGAGTGTGCAAAAGATTTCTCCCATTTATATTCTCTGGTGTCCCATGCTGCTATATAGTATTTATGAAGCTCAATTAGTTTTCTTCCCACAAGCAATAAGATAATACACCCACCTTGACAGGTTATTAACCTAATCGACACTCTTCAGTCAACACATAACAATAATAAACCAGAGTTTAAAAAAGAGTGAGAGACAGGTTTGAAAATGACATATCAGAAGAACACACAAATAACAGCATATGCCACGAGGTAACAAAATAGCTGTCAACATGTAGCTCATTTTCAAACCAATAGAACATCATATAATCATGTTGAAGTGGTTGGGTTGTTGTTTTTTTTTATAAATAAACTCTGACACTGTCAGCTGAGAAGAAATATAACTGAGCTAGCTTTTAAACTTGAAAAGCTAGGCATGGGCAATTCCCCCAATTTCATAAACAAAAGAAGCTATAAGGGAAAGTATCCAAGTGCAAAGTTCTGTTGGAGATTAAGGCTTGGATCAAGACTTAACTGCTGTTGACAGAAAGATAGTTACTCCCTTTACTCCCTTGTATTCTCCAAAAATCTGCTCCAAAGGGTTGGGGACCTACAGTGCAGAAAACATCATCCTAATCATCTAGTACAATCCTAAGGCATTGTAAGAATAGTTCTGCCTCGGCACACTTACAGCCTTTACCCTTCCATCTGTATCTATCAAAGAGGGACTAGAAAAACTTATATCAAAATACAGTAATGACATTATATACAGGTAAATGATATGCTTCTACTTGACTACTGTATTCAGCTTTCTTCTTCCACAGCAGAATTAGAAATGTTTAGGGAAAGCCAACAGGAATTATATGCTATTATATTAGAGGCTGCTTAAAGTGTTAGGGGATTGTTATTACATTGTAATACTACATATACATATAGCTTGGATCTACAATTGAGACACTTTGGTGTACGTTGCATGAGATATACTTGTAAAATGATCTACACGTGTAGTGGACTGCAGACAGCTTTAAGCCCCATCATCTTTCTTTTTCAAAATTAAGGCACCTGGCCCTTCTGCATGCCCACAACCCCAAGAATGATATTAGTAGGCTAGGAATTCCCAGCTAGTTCCATCTCTAGACAAGTCTGATGTGACACATAACTACTTCAGCAGTACTGTAATCCTTCAGATGCTTTCCTAAATTTTCCTGGTCTTATCCATGAATGTTTCCAAATGCTATTCTCATGGACCTGCATTTTAACAAAACTCTCACGATGGACTATAGAACTCTACCTTCAAGTCACCTGAAAAAAGACATATTTTGAGGCTGGAGAGATACCTAGCAAAGCACAATATGGCATGTTTATGATTTCAGTGAAAGTATAATGGAATTAACTGATTTTAGAAAAAGGGTTCACAGAGTGTGTTAGGAGAAAGCCACTCTGAGTGCCACATACCTGCTCAAGCAGCTGTCGTAGTCGGTGGAGCTGAGATTCCAGCTGTTTGTTGTGATCTTCCAATATTTGCATCCTAGCCTCCAGACGACCCTTGTGTTGCCGTAAAAGTTTGGCCTCAGCAATGAGCTCAGCATCTTCAGATGTGTGCTGGGGTGACACAGCCATGTCAGGGGGTGAGCTTGGGGCATTTATGCCCCTTCGAAGATGCTGCTCTTTGAGTTGCTCATATTCCACCTGCAGCATTCTAAAGCCAGTTAAAGAAAAAAGTGGCTGGTTTCATGGCAGCAGAGATGCAGGGTAAGTTCATTTGAAGTATTTCCCCAAAACTAATGGAAACACCTCTTTTCCAAAACACCTCTTAAAATTACAGTTATGGGATGCAGAAAATCACTCCCAAATTATAATATGGTCCCTGCTTTTTGTTTAGATACAGCAGAACCACACCACATTAAAAGAAGTAAAGAGAAAACTTGGGCTTTGGCTACCAATGAGACTTATTTGAAAGTAGAAGGTGAACACATTTTTGGCCCAAGGGCTACATTTCCTATGTGCAGATTTCTGGGAGCTGCACATACATCTCTGTTACCCCACAATCTGTTTCTGTTCTGTCAATCTGGCACCCCATTTTCCTTGTCTCCCTTTCCTCCATCTAACCAAGCTCTTCCTTCACTCACTAGTCAGTTAATTCATATGAAATGGCTAAGAGGGTAAAAGGAAGCCATGGTTTCCATCTTCTTCTGAGCACATTCTACCCCAATTCAGCTGATCTGTAGGAAGCATTTGAAAAGTGGAAAACGTGGGCTTTGGGATTCAAGGCTAAGTTGGTGATGCATCACTGTCAGCCCATTGTGCTTTCAATCTATGCACTGAGACGGGGAGGCCCTTTCTCAGCACACAGCAAGAAAATGCTGCAAACCAGTGATGCAGGAAGGACGTATCTTGTCCTGCATCACCAGGTTGGCTTAGTATCCACAACCTCATCCTCCCATTTCTCAGTTGTTTTCCACAGGTCAGTTGTGCAGCAAGGAGGGAAGATGAAGGGAGGGCGAAACCTTCTCCCAGGAACACCGGATATCAGAATTGTTGGGGAGGTACTGATGATTTAGAGCGGGCTGCACAGCTGAGCCGTGGGAAGAAGAAGAGGGAGAAGGAGAAGACAACTAGGGGAAAGGAGTGGCCTTTTTGTTCCACTTGTCTCATACCACCACAACCAAAGCCCTACCATATACACAATTTCGTTGAGATGGTATCATGGTTGAAAAGACCTTCCTCATGGTTTACATTGGTCTTCTTTTCCACTGGCAAATCATGTGGGTGTTGACTGTAATTTTTAAGCTGAATATATGAAGCTAGTGCTCTTCTCACAACAAAGTCTCAAATATTTAAGCACATATATTAAGATATGTCAATGAAGCACTGGAGTCTTTAAAAGCAATGCAACAGCACCTTTGTTCGTCCTCAAGGTCAGCAATGATGCGCTCAAGTTCTCCTCGTTCTTCCTTCTCTACAGACTTCAAGATCTGTGCTGGACTCTGTGGCTGGCTTATGGGTGATTCACCTCCCAGCGTCTGACAGTACTGTTGGATAAGGGCATGCTCATCTTCCCTAGGACAAGGAAAACTAGCATAAATATCCTTTATGTGAGTGAAATATAAACAAATAGCTATAAATTGTTTACAGAAAGCATCGACGGTGAAGCCATGGTTAATTTATACAACAAACATTTGACAGGATAGCTGTAAATCTTGTAAGATTGCTGGAAAAGGCAAAACTGTTCTGATGGATGGGCTTTATAAAATCTGAAGACAAACTCAGATTTTATTAACTACGTTTGACTTGTCCTTTACTTCTAAGGCTATGTTTGATATAATTGACATTACTGAAGCATTGTCATCTGCAACGTGGTAGTGCTGCACCCCCTTCCCACATGATACAACCAGGAAATGGTGAGTGATGTCTGGGCAGCCCACCTAGATGATTCACCAAGCCCTATTCTGGAAGACAGACAAACATACATTCACAGGGTGGAAAGGCAGGCTTATGTCCACAGCTTGCCCCAGCATAAGCAGTGGGTAAAATGAAACTGCAGACCATCCAAAGCAGTTCAAAGCAGTGAAATAAAGAAGCAGTCCCAAGAGACTGAAAAGATATATGTGGTTTTATCCCAAAAGGTCAGTCCTGAATAAGTAATTAGAGGTGGTTTTGCACGGTGCGAATTAGCATTATTGCCATGTTTTCAAAACAAATGATTTATTCTTAAATGTATTTTTAAAATATGCATTTATATGTTTTTGTCCCGTTCGTCCTTCTTTAATCTAGCCCTGAAGAAGATACATAGTTAAGCCCAAAATTCACAGGGGTACTTTTTGGAATAAATCCACATATATTTTTTTTCCTGAAATGTTCTGAAACTTTATTCTGAGACTTCATCTCTTTATTCCAGACAACTATGAGTAGAACCTACATTCCAAAGCAAAGTGTGAACTGGCCCTCACATAAAGTATACCAAACTTTATAGTAGGGAATTTGTGCAGGTAACTGCACAGGATAGTCTGAAATTCAAATTATTGACATGTTACATGTATAAGAGCTTGGATGAAGAAGCTAATAAGAGCAGCATACTAAATCAGACCATTCTGTTCACACAGTATCCAACCAGCAGCCTGTGGGAAGCCCAAAAGTAGGATTCATGTGGAATAGCACTTCCATTTACAGCACCTGATGTTGGAAGACATACCCCTTTAAAGCCATCCCCCTTTAAAGCCATCCGAGTTGGTGGCCATCTCTGCATCTTGTAGCAGCAAACTCCATATTTAGCTACAGGAAAAGATGCAGGAAAAACTACTTACAAATCAATGCATTTGGGCTATAAAGCCTTTCTTCAGTTAAAAAAAACATCTGGCAGGTGTAATTACAGTTTAAAATAATCATTAGATATAATGGCCACAAGTCTGTCAGAATTTATTAAAATATGAGCCAGATGCAATATAATTTATTTTAATTTAGTCATTTCCATGTTAGAGCAGTACATGCAGCTTTCCAATTATCTTCCTTCAATTCGCACACAAAAATCTTTTTTGATATAAGTAATTTTGAAACTATATTTCCACCAGCTGAAATTTGACTGTAGTTGAAACTTCAATGTAAGTTTTGGCTTTTATGGCATTGTAAAGTTATGCAGAATAAGAATGTTTTCTCTGGAATATCTGGTATTTAGTAAACAGATATTGGTAAAAAAAAAAAAAAAGACTCAGTTGCCTGATGAATAAAAAGTGTAGGAAAATAATTTTAAACTAAATTGAACATTCTGATTCCAGTCATCATGTTTGTAAAAAGAGTTAAGATAGTCTAAATCTCTTTAAATTATGTGGAACAACAATTGCTTTTGAGCAATTAAAATAAAAAATAGCAGTATTCCTAAGCGCTGGAGTCACTGTGATACTAATTCAAATTTGCTGACAAAATTTCAAGATGATACACTGGATCAGACTGTGTATTAAACAAACCAATACCAGAAGTCATCATCTTCATTACTGGGTAGTGGAATTCAAATTTGAATTTCAGATATATATTTAAGATGGATATCTGAGTAAACTTTTCTTCTTCCCTTCCTTTTTATTTTAAAGAGCTTGTTTCTCAGGCAGGGACCTGGTTATTAGCACTTGTGCAGAAATGTCTGCCATGCCTTCAGAGTCATTGCAAAGCTCTAAAGAACGGTGAATGATCAAATATAAACTTAGGTCAAGCCCTTAATTATACTGACACCCACACTGGTGACAAGCAAAAGATTGCGATAAGTTGGCTGCACCATCACACACCACAGTGAGTCACAGAGTCCAGTCCACATTTCACGGCTTCAATCTCAGAGGTTTTATAGAGGGCAAAAAGTAAGCTTATTGATTTGCTATTATAAGCAGTGTGCTCTCAAACAGATAATGGTGTTTTTCACTGAAGTAACATCTGACAATGAAAAGAATGTGTCTACGGAAAAGACATAACCTTGCCATGGATTACTAACACACACACCCAACAGCTTTGCCATCTGATTGGTCTGAAAGGCAGACCTTATGCTGAACCAAACAGCTCATGCTAATGATTAAAGGTAGATCTGTTAGCTGCATAGCAAACCTAGCTGAATGCTTCCATGCTGACCACACAACCCATACTAGAATAAAGAACAAGAAGCCAGAAGAAAACTCTCCAGGACTGAATAATAATAATAATGAACACCCAGTCACAGAAGAGACAGAAATTGTATCTCAAAATCAGTGCTGCCTGCACGAATAGTTATTACATGTCCCAAACTCACAAAGTTTAAGTGTATGTTAGGCAGCTACTTTCTTCTATCATTGGGGTATGCCATTGGAAACCAGAGACCAGAGAAAGGCAATGTAAAATGCAGCCTGAATCCTGATGTCCCAAGCAATGCATTTCTAATGGAGACGGCTCTCGGAGAATCTACACTGGTTTTCATTATCATGGAATAGTATTCAACATGCCATTAAAATAGCAGCAGCACATGCAGTCTCTTGCACCATGCCAATAGTGTATGTTGGACCGCTGGGGGTTCTGGGGAAAATCATTGCTCCAGCATGCACTATTGGCACTATGTCCATGTGGGAAGTAGAGCAGCAGCACTGGATAATGCCCAATCTCTTCAACTGATAAGCTTTAAATTGACATACAATGTACTTACTAATATAATGAAGTGATGAAACAAGTTGTGAAGTTAATCCAGAGAAACTGATGGTAAGATTTATGAGTGGTTTACTAATCTGGCTAACTAGTGTTTACCCTGTTCTGGAGGGGGTTCCACTCCCCTAAAGATGGGGCGAGAAATCATTTTTGGCTTGTGAGTCTATCTGGCTGCAGGTCAGGAGCCTGGGGATGCTATGCCAGCAGTAGCTAGGATAACTACATGTACCCCCTCCTTTTTCACACATGCATAACCTTCTCAGACCTATGTGTATCAGCTGAGGATGAGGGCATCCCATCACAGCAAGCTAGGCAGGGAGGTTCTGGTCTTTATATCTATTGTAACTCACTGTAGATAAAGATCAGGACCCCTCCGCAACTCAGGTGAGTTGCGGAAAAGTCTAGATCATCATCCCAAGCATGCCATGACCAAGGAAAGGAGTCACAGAAAGGGAGTAGTCAAGCTGGGAGTTCTTCACAGGCTGAACTGAGGAACCCTGTGGGCTGGAGGTTCCCAAGAAGGCCCCAATTTGAGGGTGTTTTTAAATCCATCATTGGTCATTAGAGGTACAGGTACCTTTGGTGATCCATAGTTCCTTTATCAGCTTAGACAATGTGCCAACTAAGACCCTACCTAGACAGAGATAGTCTAGTGAAGTTATTAATGCTCTGGTAAGTGGGATTGCCTTTGAAAATAATTTGGAAACATCAGCTGGTCCAAAACATAGTGGCTAGATTGTTAACAAGGACTGGCCAAGGCAATCCCTTCATACCAGTGCTCTGCCATCTGCACTAACCAGGAATCTCTTTGCAAACCTAATTCAAGATGCTGATTTTTATTTCAGGTTTCTTGAAGAAGCACCCATTCTCAAATTTACATAAGTCCAGTTTTCTCCACTAAATGTGGCAAAGTGAGGCTTTTTCAGTAATGACATTGTGCCCATGGAGGTCCCCCTCCTTGGAGAGGCTCAGCCAGTGCCTATATTATGGCCTTTTAGCCCTAGCTGAAGACCTTTTAATATTCAGGCCATTTCAGGATCTGTTTTTAGTGCTTTTAGATCGTTGCACTGTTTTATCCTGTCTGTGGTTTTACAGTAATAATGATTATGATATTGCCTTTTCTCCTCTTGTGCAGAACCCAAGACAGCTTACACAGGTCCACTTTATATTCACAAAAACAACCCTGTGAGGTAGTTTGGGCTGAGATTCTCACAGAGGGTCATCCAGTGAACTTTATAGTCAAGTGGGGACTAGAACCCAAATCTCCAGGGTCCCTAGTACTGCACTAACCATCAGCACACAACACTGGCATATATGTTGCTTCTGCATTTATCTTGTTTTCTATTGTGACCTGTTTTATTATTGTATACTTTAAAAAAAGAAAGTATCTGCCCAGAAAATGTCAGTTATTTTAAAATGTAAAAAACAGACAGACAGAAAATAGGCTGCTTCCAAATGATATTGAACTGCGTATGTTTCAAAGTTCATGCTCAGTACAAAATCTGATTCTTCTTATCATCATCATAAATTGTTATCAGGATAAATTATTATGTATATTTGGATACAGAGAAGCAAATTTGCTGAAAGTATTCAGTTCAGCAAAAAGCATTTATACCACAGTGATAAAGATGAGGAGGGACACCACAGAGTAAACAAGCAATCCTGTCCACTCATGGCACTTCTCATATAAATAACAGTAACTATATTAGCTCAAAAGCAAAAATGAAGGTTTAACAAGATTTCTGAACATATCCACTATGGTTAGTTTAAACAATAGTTTGTCCAAACAAAATGACAAACTACATTTATATCCAAATGGAAGTGGCTGCTTCCAGTCTTCTCCTCAAACAACAGAACAGAACAGGAAGTTGACTTGTGTTAAATAGTGGTTTGACATGACTTCCAAGCCAGGCATTGACTTCCAAGCTTTCAGCCATGGTTAACATCTAAAAGCTAGCTCATATTCTTGCTCCCACTCTCTCTAGGACAAATTCTGCTTTTCTTTCATTCTTGAACTTAGCCATAGTTCACTGTTACATGTACATCAGCATTAGCGATGATTACTGCAAAACCAGAGTCTATTTCCAAAGCCTTGTTAAGAAGAAATCAGGATCAGAATTAATCACAGGTTAGCACCATAGAGATTTAATCTGATTCCTGCTTAAGTGTCCACTAAAAGTTAAGAAGACAATGGCGATGTTACCAATTTATTCAAAATCACATACTATTGCAATATCTTGCCGCTAAATCATTTTGCCTGATTGTGCATAGTGATTCAGTGTTATTCAAAGTTCACCCTTTAGAATCAATATACAGATCATGTGGCTTGTGAGCAGCATTTGACCCTTGCCACTGCCAGGATGGCCTGCAAGGCCACAGGGTGGCATTCAGAGTTCCTCCTGTTAGTTCTAGCCTGAGATGTCTCCTGCCAGTGCTAGCAAGAGAAATCCTTCCATTAATTCAGGAGAGATCAGAAGAAAGGGGCCAGCTGGCAAGGAAAGCCCAGTTGGGCTGGAGAGATGGTGTGTGTTTGGTGGGGAGGCGGGGAGTGAAGGTATGTGGATATGTATGTTTATGAATGAGTATGTGTTTCTATATGAACACATGTATTTGTGTTTGCATGTGTGCCACTCCTAGCACCCAAAAAGGTTGTGCACATTTGCTTTAGAACACGATGTTTATCAAGTTAATTAGGCAGAAAAGGTCAAGGTAGCAAGACAGTAACTCTTCAATTTTCCACTTAATGTACAACTTTACACACTGCAAAAGGTTTTACAGTTCAAACGAAACTACAGGATTTGTTTCCCAACTTGGTAATTATCTTCTGAGGCCTGTCAAATTTGTGTCCAATGGGATTTTCCTTGACAGACTTATAAAGAAATGGAACAATGCTAGAAAATGCCCTACAAAGCGTTACCAATTTTGTCTGGCCAGTTAACAGAATGCAACATTTCATGTTTTTTTTAGTATTGCCAACACCTCTGATGTTCTGAAAGTGATTCAATATTCTCAAATTCTGTTTATTATAAACCAAATGGAAAATAACATTGCATCATTTATCTTTAGACTTGTAATTCTGTAAGCAATTCAGCACGGTCTAGCTTCCATCATTACTCGGGTTTATTAAATTCACAAATCACAACATTGTACTGGGATTGCTTCTATGTTGTTGTCCAATCTGTGATTGTATGTTGATTGAAATAAAAGATAAAATGAAAATAAGTTTTGCTTGTTGACAATGCCTATACAGTTAGCTACAAAAACTGGTGGCAGGACCTTATCCAATGCTTTTTTTCCAAACTATATTTTTCTAAGAAGAGAGAGTTTGGCTCACAAAAATCCTCCCTTGTTACCAAATTATTCTCTTCAGCAAACCAAACACTACCAGTTTATGCTACATAATACCAGCTTATGCTATTATAGCAATGTAGGATTAACCTCCCAGAAAGCTTTGGCTGTGGGGCAGTGCAGAAATGAAATGAATACATAAATAATGCAGGCCCCTGGAAAGTTCTAATGATTACCTATTTGCTGGAAGCTAAAATTCACAGCAATTGGTGAATAACTTATCAAAAAGCTATAACCAAATGTGTTGACATTTTCTAGCAGAACTTGCTTTATCTACTTACACACTTCCTGTGGTGGAGCTCCCATCTGTGAAAAAGGAACCATTGGTCCGTTCCATCTGGGCTAACCTAAAAAAGAGCAGTAACTCAGGCAAGAATAAATAAGACCAGGCTTCACAGAAGTCAGATCTTTCTTCAGGCAATTGAAATTGTTTATAAGTAAGTCAATGTGAAGATAACCAAGAAAACCAATTCTTAAGTGACTCCATAGGAAGTTTTCATGCTTATCACCATGCTTCAAAATATGGTTATTTTCTCAACATCACATCATATCATATCACAGTTTATATATCATTTCCTAATATGTTACTGTCCCACTTTTTGCTGTTTCTTCATCAAGACCCATCTTCTTTCATTACTTTTGCCCTTTCTGTCAAAACTTTCACACAAGAAGCCTTTCCCAGCCTTTTCAAATGGATTGTGCAGCTGGTCATGCAAGGAAGGTTGCCACTGAAATGAATGACAAAACCCTTGCAAGTCATATTCTTCCAGTTCACAAATAATTAGATCAATGCAAAATGAAAGCAGTGGTACTCCTGTGGAATCAGTACTACTTCTGGGCCAAAGTGTAAGTTTGTTTTCAGAAAACTTACATACAAGTAGAAGAAGAGCATACAAATCAAAGTACAGGTCTGGCTCACCTTCTCTTGTATGGACCCAGCCTAAATCGGGCAGCCAGAGGCCTGCTCTGTCTTTCTCTTCCATCAGGGACACAGGTGACAGTGATGTGAGACAGGGATTCCTCAGTGGTGGCACTCACTCTCAAGGAAGGAGTTCCTTGCACCCTTTCTATGAGTTTTCAAATATCGTGTAAAAGTTGTTGTCTTTCACAGGGTATTGGAAATCCCTGATCTATAAATTTGTGAGGACCGCTGATATATCTGATGGATTGATCAGATTTTGTTTTAATCTGTTTTACTGATGTGTGTTTTATAAGCCACTTTATGGACAGTGAGTTTAGAGGGGGCTCAAAGGGGATATTTCAGGGCATGGGGAAAGGAGTACAATATATGAGGTGCAATGAAAAGGTTCTTGCTTCCTTCCATCCCATTCCAGGACACTTCAGCTAGATAGGAAAGAAAGCCTGTCCAGTGAAAATGCATAGCAGGAGGACAGGGAAGCTACTACTGTTCTTCTCACTCTGCAGAGGATGCTTGTAAGCGTCTTGAGTTTGGGGAAGTACAGGCATCCCAGTAGAATTACCCCCCCACCCCATAACAATGTATCTCTGAGATGCAGTCTACAGTAGTAATCATTATACTGTCAATTAAGTTATGGCAGTAGCTCTAGATGTGCATCACTGTAATTAGACATTAAACTAATGATCTCATCTCATTAAATGATCTTCCTGAAGATTTAATCAATAATTTTATCTTTGTATAACATAGTACGTATTTTAAAGTGTATATTACACTGTATGACTTTAGTCTTATGTTGTGTTATAAAAGTAAATTGCACGTTGGTTGTTGTTGTTGTTGCTTCTTACCTGTTGGCATATTGCTCTATCCTGGAATGCGTGTCATCATGAAATAGTTGGGGAGACTGGGAAGGACTATCAAACAATGTAAGAGAGAAAAAGACTTGTCAGACTTTTGAGAAAAGAGTGTTTATACTATTAACAAAGAGAGTATTGCTATGGTGCTGTGACTGTTACCTAGCTGAGGGCTTTATGTAAAAATGTTAGCAACTGCTATTAAAAATGTTTAAATGTAATCCTTTAGGAATTTCTCCAGTACCAATTCCACTGGAATGAGTGGGAAATGCAAAGGAGAATGGATGCGCACAAAAACAGCCCCATTCTAATGTCAGTAGAATGTGCCAAAGAAATACTTGGTGAACTGAATCCAACACCTTCCCAGGCACAATGGCTGCAGATACTCACTCATATTGCTCTGGCCACATACTGATGAGTGTGATGGGACTGCAAGAAAAGAAGAGAAGAAAACCAAGACAAAAGCTTTAATACATTTTAGTATTAATGTATTACACTAGTCATACACTAGCGACTAGGAATACACTAGTCATCCATCAGCCTTCCCAAACAATTTGTTTTACTAATAACTGAAACAAAGAAAGCGCTTAAAACAGAAACTGTAGAACAACATGTTGGAAATCAGAGACATGCCTTTGGAAGGCCAACAAAATACAATGCTATAACTGTTATATTTTTACTGCATCTCAGTGTGTTGCTTTAATCAATTTAATTGTTTCTGTAAGCAGGCCTGAGTGCCATTTTTGGTGAAAACACAGAGTGTAAACTAACTAAATAAATGATCTTAAAGCCATGCTTCATCATAATCAGGTAAACGGTCAGTCTATTCCCTCTACAGATTGGATTTGATTTCAGTATATTATGCAGTTGTGGCATGGATATTGTTGAAAGAAAACCTGAGGGCAGGTGTACAGGAAATGCCAATACTACATAATAATAATCCCAACAGTGATTTCATCCTTTAAAAACCATGTTAAAATGCAGAAAATAGGTAAAGTGTACTTGAGAGACACATTCAAAATGAAAACATTTGATGGGACCATCTTAGCAAACAGCCACAGATTCTCCTATCCCATTAATTTTCTTTAATCTCATTTTGCACCCAAAAATATAACTCTGTCCCCCTCTCTCAATGAATGGTTTTATTTCAAAATAACGAGCTGAGTTTTTGGGAATGATTCAGCCTACTTTAAACACTTTGAATGGGAAAATGGAGGTCATCCTTAACTCATTCCCATTCCCATTAATGAAATTCTTGCTGTATTGCATCCTCTCACCAAATGAACTCATCTTGGTTTATTCCTCAACAACCTGTATTCTCCTTGTGAAATTAATTTTATTATATCCCATTTTAAAGCAGAACCTCTGTATTATTCCACTATTTTCTGTAAAAAAACATATTCATGAAAAGCAGTCTCTCCCTGCGGCTTTAGTATTAAAATATCTCAGCGATATAGAACACTGTACAGGGACGAACTTGTACTTACGTTTCCAAATTGTCACCTTCTAGGACTGTTTGTACTGGTAAATAGCCAAGTCGAGGGTGTTTAGCAAAGTATTTCTTTGACCGGAACTTATTCTTTAGCACTTTAGTGAAATCTCGTACGTCTTCTCCTGATGTTGTCTAAGGAAAAAAAATATAGAAAACCCAAATTAAATATTTACCATCTTAGTGGTGTTCAGAAATATGTTAAATTATGTTGCTAACTGACACTGGTGGCAAAGTGTAAATGGCAATGATTTAAAATAACTGAAAATGACCTTTTAAAGGCTGAGTACAAGAATATTAAAAGCCTGATTCTACGAGGCAAATTCATTCTTTGCTACTTGCTAGTAGTTCTTAAATTATACTGTAATGTATATACATTTTTCAATTTAATGAAATCACTTGTAGCAAAAACTGGACCTGGATAAAACTAAAAGCCATTAAATTATGTTTTAAAGGAAAGGTTATTTAATCACAACATTAAAGATGATTCTAATCCACCATATACTCTGTCTTTGGTAACACTGAAAATTTTAAATCTGAGATGCTGTTGCTGCATCTTCTCCAGTGGCATCTAAGCTAAGAGAGAGAGAGCACTATACCTCCCAATCCCCACAGAGTAACATAACAGGTGCATTCCTACAACCTGCCTGCCTTCCTGCTCTACTAATCAAGCACCTTTTCCAACAAAGCTCTCATTGACATGTTGGGAGGAGATGACTACATGAGACAGGCAGGCCAGTAAGCTGCAAATCTGGGGGTTGCTCCAGCAGAAGGGTGGGGGAAATGTTACTGCCCCCTTCCAGAAAGTGTTGCCAGAACTGATGGCCTCATTCAGCCTAATTGTAGGGCCAGCCCTCACATTCTATAATTATAGCTGACATTTTTTAAAAAAATTGAATATCTTGAGCACCAGGTTTGAGCTATTTTCTAAGAAAGAAACCAGAACAAAATCTTGTCAGAATGCATAGTGTGTTCGTGATTGCTGCTCTCTTTGCTATGGTCAAAGACTCCCACCTTAAGCCTGCTAGGGCTCAGCCTTAAGAAAAACACACACGAAAATCCTAGGGACAAGTCTTCAAGAATCAAGTACATAGCCCAGAAGAATCAAAAGAGTTACAGAGATGGCATTCTTGTGGAAGAATGTGAATGTACTTTCATATTTTTAATCTTCTAAAGGCTGTAAATTCAATTTAGTTACAACTTAACACAAGGAAGGCAGGCCAGCCGGCCAACAGAAATACAATGCACAGTAGGAGAGTGCTTCAAATTCAGTGGAATCCTGGACTGAACTGGGCTAATTCAGACAGAGAGACATCTGAATTTAAGCAAGGCTCCTCTCAAATGGATGGAATCTAAATGTGAACATTCTTGAAGATTCAGGATTTGGAGGATCACAGAGCTATAGTTTTCATACCTTTATACATTTCATCCCAAGTTCTCCATTCAATCAATCAATATCAATCAATCGATCTCCATATGAGGAGAACAAGGAACAAAGGGGGTGTAGATTTCTGACTGGCAGCTTTTATTCACAGTAAATGACATTAATGGGGCTTTCCAATCCCTGTGTTTCGGAAAAAAGATGTGGAAGCAATATTTTACAGGACTGCTCCAGAGTCAGTGCTTTTGCTTGTCCTCCCAGAACATGGATGCTAAAAAAACCAAACCCCAATGGTGAACCCTGTGGGGCCTCCTAATGTGCTTGCTTGGAAAATGCTGGATGTTCAAGCTCTTCTTCATCTCTCACTATGCTACAAATCCTTCATTCACTTCTGTCCTATTCCATTTTTTGTGACTTTGGTGCCAACTGAGCAGAAAATGAAAAAAGTCTTAAGTTGTTATTTACCACAACCTTCCAGCTATCCTTCTGAATTTTGCTGGCTTATTGGTTAGGAACATCTCTATGAAATCATTTCAATTGTTAAAACATATGATCTGGCCAGGGCAACTTCTTCTTCCTTCTCTTTCTCCCCCTATATTTTTATTTTATACTGATAATTTTAATTTTA